AAGCCCGCGGGGCTGGTGGGGCCCAGACTCTCCCCTCGGGCCGCACACTCAGAGGTGTAACGGGCGCTCAGCGCTTCGGGTGCCCTCGGCTGACCCGGCGCCCGGCTTCCCGTGCCAGGCTGCGCAGACCCACGAAAGTTGGGTGGGGGCTGGGCTGTGGCTGTGGAGGAGGGGCCTTTGTGGCAGCCAGAGGAGTCCCCACTGACGACCCCCTCTCTCCCTCCCACCAGACTTTCCCTTACCGCCTCCTCCACCCCTGGGGGACTGTGATGACTCAGAGGAGGGCGCCCTTGGAGGCCCCTTCCCGCCGCCCCCTCCCCCCATCGATGAGCTTTTCCCCTCTGCGCCCCCCGACGATGACATCTTCCCGGCCCCACCCCCCCCATTGGAGGATGAGGGAGGGACTGAGGCGACCCCAGCGTTGCCTGTTCAGGTAGGGGGCTGGGGCCGCTGGGGGCTGGGGGCTGGGGAGGAGTGACTGGCTGGCTGGGAGGGGGTGCAGGGCTTTAGTTCAGACGCTGACCTCAGCCCAGGGAGAAGGTGAGCAGCATTGACCTGGAGATGGACTCGCTCTCCTCCTTGCTGGACGACATGACCAAGAATGACCCCTTCAAGGCCAGGGTGAGGCGTCTGGGAGGAGCTGGGGGGGGTGTCCCTGACTGCCCCTTGTCCAGCTCCAACCCCACTCTCCCCTCTGTCTTCCCTGCAGGTGGCCTCTGGATACGTACCCCCACCCGTCACCACATCACCATTCATCCCCAAAGCCAGCCCTAGACCTGCAACTGGGGGCGTAGCACCCCTGCCTCCGTGGAAGACCCCACCTGGTTCCCAAGCCCCAGCCCCCGTCCCGGCCCCTTCCCCTCCCCAGAGCCAGACACAGGTCTCTATCCCCTCCCAGGCCTGGCCCAAGGTCCAGGTCCAGGTTCAGCCCCAGCCTGTGCCCCCAACCCATATCCAGCCCCGAGGTCCCCCAGCCCCTCCCAAGTTTTCTCCAGCGGCCCCCAAGTTCCCTGTGACCCCCAAGTTCAGCCCTGGAACCCCAGGTGGACTGTCGTCCCAGGCCAGTCAGAAGCTGGGGCCCCCTGAAGCACCCTCTCCTGTGGGTGCAGGCTCCCCCCAGCCCCCTAGTGTCACCTTCGCACAGCATAGGGAGAAGCCCCGTGTCCAGGAAAAGCAGCCCCCAGTGCCCCCACAGCCGGCTCCAAATCAGGTGAGGGGGGCCCAGCTGACGTCGGGGGTTGGCAGTGGAGGTCGAGTGGCATTGGGGTGGTGGGTGGGGATGGCTAGAAGAGGAAGGCTCTCTAGAGGAAGGGTCTGCCAAGGTCTGGTTTGGGTGAGGTCCTCCTGGGCTAGGGGACAGGTCACCGCTCCTGCCTGGTCCTTCCCCTTCTCCTGCGTTTGCTCTCCCACCCTCAGCCATCTGGGAATTGTGCCTGGGTGGCACAGCCAGCTTCATACTGCTGAGCTCCTGTGCCAGGCCTGCAGGACAATGAGAGACCCTGGGCCTCCGAGGGTGGGCACTGGGGGTTCTGGGGACTGCATCCATCTGGGCGACCCTAGGTGAGCGAGTCAGGGGACACGGAGTCTGCAGTTAGTTAGCTTTGATTCGGAGTGCACGAGCTCCTCAGACAGGTCTGCACTGGGCAGAAGTGGTGACTCCAGGAGAGCCTGCTGCCAGTGCCCAGGGTCTGGCCGGCAGTAAGGTCATGCCCCCACCGACCAGGTGATTGTTAAGTCGGTGTGAACAGAGCCACGGCAGAGGGAGGCCAGCTGCCTGGGAGCACTGGTCTGTGGGGCTGCAGGCTGGGTGAGGCTTGTGGATGGAGCTGGTATGCCTTCCAGGGTGGGGCCAGAGGGAGTTCATGAGTGCCTCCCCAGGGCAGGGGCACACCGGGTGGTTGGAGAAGCGGGCAGGCTCAGTGGGGACGAACAGCCCTGGAGGAGGGGACACGGAGGGCTGTGAGGCCTTGGAGGCGGTATGGTTTTTCTGGTCATTGGGGGAACTGAAAGCAGGCTTCCAGAGGCTTTGGGGAGTGTCCCCTGCAGAGGAGTGGGTCCACCCAGGCCAGCCACAGTGACCCTGGCCTGTGGACAATGGGCTCCTGGTGGTGACTGTACAGAGGAAGGCGCTCGCCCCAGTTGCTGGGCTGATAAGCAGTGGAGGCGGAGGAGGCTGGGCAGGCGTGCAGGCCCTGAGCCAGATTAGGGAAGTCCAGAAGGGGAAATGAGCTGGAGGGGGCCTGCTGGGAACGTGTTGAGCAAGAGTTGAGCAAGAAGTTCTTCCAGTGATGGAGGGTGGGTTTCTGGCTGGAATTGAACAGGTTGTCCTGGGCTGCCATGTTCTGTGGGGGGGCATTCGGGGACTGCGATGTAGGGAGGGGAGCTGAGCGCGGCGCCGGGCGGCCGGGACCCCGAGCTAGCGCGCTGCCCTCGGCGGCATGGCTGCCCCGCGCCCACCGCCCGCCGTCGCCGTCTCGGCGCCATCCTTCTACGCGCCGCAGAAGAAGTTCGCCCCGGTGGTGGCCCCCAAGCCCAAAGTGAACCCCTTCCGGCCCGGGGACTGCGAGCCCTCCGCGGCGGCCGGGGCGCAGCGCGCACAGATGGGCCGGGTGGGCGAGGCGCCCCCTCCGCCGCCCGAAGGTACGAGTGCCAGGGGAGGGGCGCGGGGGTCGGCGCGGCGCGGGAGATGCACAGGGCGCGAGAGGAGGTGGGGAGCTGGAGGAGAATCAGGAGGATGGGGGCCACTGGAGGGCCAGGTGGGGGCAGTGCCGGGGTGCAGGGACCTGGGGAAGCCCCGGGGCATATTGGAGGGGCACCAGTGGCTCTGGGCGGACGATGGTGAGTGGGGGAACCCTTGGAGGGCCTTGGGGTGAGGGGGCGTC